GCAGAAATGCTCCTTGACTGAGCTAAACTTTCCCAACAGTTCAGGGAAGGCCTTTCTGCTGGAAAGATGCAATGAAAAAAAAAAAGGATCAGAGAATAACAAAGAACCATAAGCAGAGCTGAACTTGACCATCTGAAACTGGGGATGGGGTGCACTGTGCTTTCTAACTATGCTCCGGGCCATGCAACTCTGCGCAGAAACAATGTCAAGAGTTGAGCTGCAACCCTATTCTTAAGCAAGCTTTACATCACATCTGGCACAGAGAGCCTTTTTTTTTTTGTTGTTTCAGGAAGAGACTTCTGGATATCCTGTTGAGCTGAGATCCAATTTTACAGACTCCGTGACAACATTCCACTATATAACTTGGAGCCTTGTTTGAATCCTGCAGCCTCATTAGCAAGCTGTGAAAGTCAGGAATGTCTCCCCCAACTTTCCAAGTTTTGCTCCTGAATGTATTAACTTTCCATGCATCAAGCTGAGTTTGCCGTCTGGTGCCAGAAGTCAGCTGCAATATTTCCCTTGAAGGTTACAATGCACTGAAAATAAGCACACAAGGGGACTTGCTGGCATAAGCTCTCTTTCTTCCATTAAAAGAAAATTGGCACAAAGGTTAGAGTTTTATGAAAAGAGGCTTGCCCGCCCCTCCCTGGCCTACCCAATTTTTGCAAAAAGCAGCAAGAATCATGTTCTTTGGACATGGATTATACACAATCCTCAGATTTCAAAAAGGGAGGGAGCCAACCCATAAAAGCATAATCTTTAAGCACAGTCCAAGGGCTTCAGGCACATCGCTAGTGTTTGTAGACGGCACACTCTCTGAGATAGTGGAATGATCCACCATTAAACATTTAAAATGAAATGATTTACCTCTCCTCTTGCCCCAAGGTGGTTAGGCTGGCATTGAAACTGTAATACAGCTTGCCCTCAAATTACGATCACAATAGTGCCCCAAAAAATCCATTTCTGAGCAAGATAGTTGTTAAGTGAGTTTTGCTGCATTTTATGACCTTTCTTGCCACAGCTATTAAGTGAATCAGTATAGTTTTTAAGTTAATATCAAGTTTATTAGAAAGACCATAGATTAGAACAATAACAAAAAAAACCTTAATGAATATCCAGTTAAAAACTCTAAAATAACATAACACATAAAATCTATATTAAAATCATGATTTGGCATCCAATCTGTCAGTTACATATGCCCTAATGATACTATAATATCTATAATATTATTCTAGAATTTTTAACTGGATATTCCTTGAATGTTTTTATTTGTTCTGATCTCTGGTCTTTAACTATAATAAACTTGATTTAAGATTTAAGGTAGTAACACTGTTGTTAAGTGAATCCAGTTTCCCCATTGACTTTGCTTGTCAGAAGGTCGCAAAAGGGGAATCACGTGACCCTGGGACAACTGCAACGATCATAAATATGAACCAGCAACTGAATTTTGATCATGTGACCATGCTGTAATGGTCGTAAGTGTGAAAAATGGCCATAAGTCACTTTTTTCAGTGCCATGGTAACTTCAAATGGTCACTAAATGAATGAAGACTATCTGTAGTGAATTGTAGTAGCAAACAAGGAGGGAGGCCAAACAAGATTGTTCAGAAATGGGGGAGATTAACTTTGGATCACCACCTCTAATATTTTCAGAATGCCTATTATTTATCAACATTGGATCATCCAAAGAGTTACCAGCACATAGTGGGAATTTGGATGTGGATGTGGAAAAAATGTGGATGTGGAAAAAAAAAAAAAAAAAGGAAAAGGCCAAGGGTGGGTGAGCAGAGAGAGACACATTTCCTTTAATTGGAAGAAGTGGTATAAAATGATTAAGATGTCAGGCTATGACTGGGGAGTTTCAAATGAACTCTTAGCCATGGCTGAAATAACTCAATGTCCCTCAAAATTCTGTGTTGAGCTTTACCTAATAGTGCAGAGACTGTCCAATGAGTTAGGATTAGCTCATGTGTAGACTACATATATATCTTGCATCTTGCATTTATGAAAATTTATCCATGTATTTATTTCCTTAATTTATTTCTGAACTACATGCCATGAGAGCTGGCCCATTCTAATCAGTAGCTCCTTCAAATTATAATCAACTCAAAAATAAATAATAAACTCTACACATTATATTAAAGATAAACAATAGAAACACCATAAAATGATTAAAAAGCACCCTAGCATCCAAGCCCATGTATAATCAAAGAATTACTCAGGATATGGGTCATCATTAAAATTTGCCAGCAAAATCAAATTTTTACAGGCAGAAGGCTAAATTATGTTTTTAAAAAGTGTTTTTAAACTTTTCTCAAAACACTCCAGAAAATAACAGACTACAGAGTTGGAACTGGACCCAAACTTCAGCAATGCACATATGGAACTGTGACAGAATACCTCTTGAATACATGCAGAGTCCTGTGTTCCTGAGAGGAGGCCACTGCATGCCAGCTTAGATTAGGATGTGGCCTTCTAGATGTTGAGCTCCAACTTCCAACCAACAAAGCCAGCACAACCAAGAGGGAGAAATGAAGAGTTGGAGCTGAATAACATCTGGAGGACCACATTTTGCCAGGCCAGATGTCTCCCCTCCAGACCTCAGACCCCCAGAACCACAGCTCTGGATTAAGTGAAAAAGCATCCTTTTTCTTTCACAGACCAACTATTAAATGCAACAAAGATCAACTTATTTTCCAAAGCACCAGAAGGCAAGACAAGCAACAATGGATGGAAACTAATCAAAGAGAAGCAACCAGGAATTATGGATAAACTTCCCAACAGCTAGGACAATTAACCAGTAGAAGGGCTTGCCTTCAGAAGTTGTGGGTGCTTAATCATCGGGGTTTTTTAAGAAGAGACTGGACAGTCACTTGTCTGAAAAGGTATAGGGTCTCCTGCTTGAGCAGGGGGTTGGACTAGAAGATCTCAAAGGTCCCCTCCAGCTCTATTCTGATTGAAGTTGGTGGACACTTACACCAGCCCCTTCAAGTTGCATTTTATTTTCCTTCTACTTTATTAATTAGTACATTTATGGCAAAATCTAATACAGTTAAACACACAACGAGAAATAAGGGCTTTCAACACTACCAGAGTATTAAGAAAATATATTTACAATTGTATCACTGATTGTTCTAATATTAAGCAATAGTGTTATATATCACTTCTGTATACTCTTATATCTGTAATTCTCATAATGAACTGAAAAGATATTTAACGTTTTACCATTTCCCTAACCAGCTTTGTTTTTCCTAAAATCTTTCATGCAAACCAGGGCTACAATGTTTCCAGTTCTATTAAGCCAATTCATTCATGACATGTAATCATTGTAACCTTTCCCAGGCTAGAAACTGTTTCACTCAGCCCAGATGTCTCCCCTCCAGACCTCAGACCCCCACAGCCACCCACAACCCTCCCCCCAATTTTGCAACATGCAGCTAGCTATCCAGAGCCTTTTGGCACATGCGTAGAGTAACAATCTGCCAAACGTTCATTTGCTGTACTGGGAAAATATCTCCGTGAAACACATTCATAATGGCATCAGTGTCTTTGATTAGACAGAGAAAAAAACAATATCTACATTTATAGCTAAGTGGAAATCCCTTGTAGACTTTTTGCACAAAACAGAAAGAAAATGACTTTGTGATTTGTGATTCTGATCAGTAGGGGGAAAAAGGGCTGGATTATAGAAAAGAGTAAGCTTTCTTTTGTAGTCACAAAGATAGCTTTGTTATTATATTTATATTTGTTTTGAAGAAATTAGACACTTCTATTTCTTTCTATATTTTCCTGTACTTTTGCTTTTCTTTCTTTTTTGCATTGCTTTTCATCTTCATTAACTTACGCTGAGTTTTATAATCTATAACAAACTTTCAATAAAAATGTAAGATTTACTGGTATTTACTTCAAAAGATGTACAAAATAGTCTAAGTGGGCAGATTTTAGATGCTTGCGCAGAACTGAGGGGCAGCAGCCAACCGTTGAAGGGAATGGAAAATGAAAGTATGCAAATCGGGACTAATTATGTGAACTCTTCAAATATACAAGGGTGCCTCGGCTTATTTCCACTTCTTCAATTACAGGTTCCCTCCCTCACCTAAATCCTCAATCAGACAGGGTGGGAGACAAATGTCTAGGATTCACAGAACCGGATTCCCCCAACACTGCAAGGCAGACCTGTTGTATTTCAACACGAAGACACGTGTACAGCCATCTGCCCCAGTTCAAACTCCTTAATGTCTGTGCTTAAGGCAATGCTTGACACGTGGGATAAAATGGCATCGAATTCATAAATACTCGAACCCACTCCTAAACTGAGCCAGCCTCCAGCTGTTTTGCACACTTCCCATGAGCTTGCAGTGGTTTCCTAAGAAATACTTTTATACACTCGAGCAGATTACTTAAAATATAGATTCTCACCATGTATTAATCCCTAAATCTAGAAGATCAAAATCAAGACCGCCCCTCACAGACTCACATAACGTATTAGCCAAGCAAAGCGCATTAGGACCCCGGGTTTACAGGACTATCGTGTTAGAGTGCCTGATTCCCACAACCAGGACGTGCCGAGCAAATATACCCAGGTGCCCAATGCGTTTCTGCAGGCTGCATCCTGCGTCTCTAGCAACTGATCCACTGGGTGGGGAATGGTCTCAGGATACCTCCGTCCCACTTCGCTGCCCTTGTACGGCGGCCACCAGCAGCCAGCATTGTGATCTGATTCCTATGCGCTGTCTGTCGGGGCGGGGCAGGTGGCTCTGCTGAAACCCTCTCCCTCCTCGTCCCTTCGAACCCCGGGTTTACAGAACAGGAAAGCCCTCCTCCCACCAATAAGCCTCAGGGCACGTGCAGAGTGCGCAATCCTCCTCGACAGCCACAAAGAGCGGGGGTTGGCTGAGCTTGCGCGGGTAGCCTCTGAGCGCGCGCAGAGTGCCAGGAGCGCCGGGATCGGTTGCCACCAGCCCTCCCACCCCCTTCCCAAGACGCGTCCTGCTACTCACAGGGTGACGGTGTCGTTGGGCAGCAAGCGCGGCGCCGGCGGCTCCCTCAGCTCCTCGCCGCTGCAGCTGACCCGCTTCCTGGCCGGGGCCAGCCCCTTCGGCCTCTCGCCCACGCACTTGCAGCCCCGCAGCTGGAGGGGGCAACTGCGCGCCCCGCCCGCACCCCCCAGCGCCGCCAGCAGGAGCAGGGCGCCCGTCCAGAGCATCCTCGACGGCGGAGGCTGCCAGCCCATCCTCAGCCCATCCTCGCCCGTTCGCACCGCAGCCTTCGGCGTCCGGAGCGCCCCGGGGATCTCAGCAGCTCCGGCAGGCGCTCCGAGGGGCGTCCGCCCGGTCCCGCAGCCTCTTGCCCCGGCCGTCACGCTCGCCCCGAAAGCAGCCCCGCTCGAGCCGCTTCGCCTGCCCGGAGCTCGTCTGTCCCCGCCGGGGCTGCGCCTTGCATGGCCGGGGAGGACCGGCGCGCGGCTGGGCGAGGATGTCCGGCGGCCGGGCTGCTAGGCGAGGGTTGGATCCCGCGGCTGGGGCTGCCGTAAGACGGGTCCCTCCCCTCGATTCGCCCGCCTGGCCGGCCTGGTTCTCGGCCACGGCGGGGCCCTAGCGCCTCCCTCTCGCCCCTGGCTCTCGGCCGCCGTCGCCGAACTGGAGCCGCGGAGGGCCAGCGAGCTTGGATGGGACCCAGGGTTTGGGGGGTTAACGGCGGAGAGTGGAGGAGTTCCCTGTCTCGGCTCCCCGGCTGCATCCGCGGGAGTTTTGCCCAGTTGTTGAGACTTCGTTCCCGTCGCTGCTGAACTCCGTTTGTCATTTGCGATCTGGCCTTGAGCGCAGCTCCGGCAAGATAAATTGAAAGCAGCTTTCGGGACGGCTGAGCAAACATTTCTCTTTGGAGATGCCCAGTTGACCTGACTCGCATGTCGTCGTCTTCGGATTTTGCTTGTTTCCCATGAGCTGCTGGTTCTGGCCAGGAAGTCTGTGGCAGCCTCTGTCGTATATTTTGGTTGCCTAATGAATTTGTTGCTCCCATAATTGGTGTGCGAAGAATAGCAATAGCACTTAGATTTATATACCACTTGATATCTCTAAGCAGTTTACAGTCAACTGTAAACTGCTTAGAGCCCCCAACAACCTAGGTCCTCATTTTTACTGACCTTGGAAGGCTGAGTCAACTTTGACCCTTTGATAATCGAACTGCTGGCAGTCCATCTGTTCATCTAGCATTTGGAAGAATCTCTTTGGAGGACCTTTGATTTATCTAAGAAAGGGGCATGGAGGGCCACATCTGGTCCCTCCACTCCTTGACTTTGCCAGGATAGCTGCTCCCTCCCTCCCCACCTCAATCCTCTAAGTTTTATGCACTTTTGTGATCATCAGGAAACAACTTGGGGACCTAAAGCCTTGCAGGAGCTCCGAATTTCACATCTTTGAAACACACACATCCTAAATCACTCCACAAGAGGATCAGGTCCTGCCCACCTTTTGAAGCACAGCCGTTGACATGCCACACAAAATTGGTGTGGTCAAAATTGTATGTTTCTGATCTAAGCCAGGATTGTTAGTGAGCCTTTCCAAGTATTACATGTGATTTTTTCCCTGCCTGTGTGTGAAGATGCCCAGGATTGAATACTAGATGCTGAGTCTGTCAATCTTACTGTGGTGTAAAAAGATGTCATTATCTCTGGGATGATCAGTTGCAGCTGCCTGGTAGACCTTTACAAACTTGGCAATTTTTAAGATGTGTGGACCTCAACTCCCAGAATTCCCTAGCCAGCATACTTTACACTGCATTCCATCAACCCAATTTTGATTATTAGCCCTTCATAACTTGCTACTTTCCAGAGGTGTCCACAGAGACCTCTTTAAATTTGTATTCAAACTTTAGACTCTCTTAAACAAAGTCCTTTTGCAGAGGTTCTTTGAAAACAACAATGGTCTATGACGAAACCTTGAAAATGTAGTTCAAGTTTTATAGATTTCACCCCACTGAATCAGACTTGTGAAAGATTACCTTGAAAAAGGAAGCTATGGATGACCGAGGGTAGGGGAGAATGGAAGAGAGTTTAAAGAGAAATTTAATATATGATGGTGCATCTGTGAGGACAGGTGGTAGCCATTCTAAAATTGTTGGGATAGGCAGATACCGAATTGAGGAGTTGATTAATACCCATACTTTGATAAGTAGTTTTAGTGTAAGTTTAAATCAGTGTAAACCTTTTCTTTTAAATCCTACCCTTTGCTTCTCTTCTTACTGATGCATATTTTTGCTATGTTGTTGACCCTTCACCCCCACACCAACAGTGATCTCCAGTTCATTTGAATGAAATATGAGCGGAATTGTAAGTGACAACAGTGGAACCTAAAAATTGTACATATTATTGCCAGAGTTTTGATGGATCACAATTCACTTGACTCAGAAGCATGACCAGCTGGGTCAGTGGTCAAACTCAGTGATAAAAAATAGCTGCCTGCTTTCGAAACACAACCTAACCAAAAATAATATATCTGTAATTTCCTGTCTAAATGACTTCACAATGAATTACTTTTATTCATTTATTTGTATCCTGCCTTTATTATTTTTACAAATGACTCAAGGTGGTGAACATAACAAATACATCTTCCTCCTCCTATTTTCCCCACAACATCCCTGTCAAGTGGGTTGGACTGAGGTGAGTAGACCAAAGTCACCCAGCTGACTTTCATGGCTAAGGCAGGACTCAAACTCACAATCTCCTGCTTTGTAGCCTTTAAACTGGGGGTCTTCAAACTTGGCAAGTTTAAGACTTGTGGACTTCAACTCCCAGAATTCTTTCTCCAGTCATGTTAGCTCAGGAATTCTGGGAATTGAAGTCCACAAGTCTTAAACTTGCCAAGTTTGAAGACCCTTGCTTTAAACACTAGAACAAACTAATCTTGCAAGCCAACCAGGCTGGCTTTTCCTGGCTCCAGATCCTAGTTGTTGGTTTGGCCAGGCTGTCTCCCAAATGTCCACCCCACCCCAGACCATCCAGACTCCATCCAGCTGCACTGTTTCCTGTAAGTCTCAAAACAAGTCAGCTCCACAGATCCAAACTAGATGGAAATATGAAATCTGAGACCCACATCTCAGTTCAAACACAACTTCCCAAAGGGACCAAGAGGCATATAGAGCAGATTGCTTTCAACTCCTTCCAAACCCTCACATCCGTCCCAGGGAAACACAATTCCAGGCCTTTGGAACCATTCTTTGATGAACACAAACAGCAAGGTGACTTAACCTGATGCTGTAATAACATCTGTCAACCTAATTACCAAGAGGGCTTCCATTTCTCAAAGAGAAGCCAGTCAGAAACCATGCTGCGTGTATTCATATGCCAAGTTCTGCTCCCAGAAAAGGTGGCAACAAGGTCTGTGCTACTCCAAGGAGAATTAGTGATGTGAATTGGGCTACTTTGCCTAGGGAATTGCATCATCTTTCCAGATATAGGTATTCCTCGACTAACAACAGTTCATTTAGTGTCAGTTCAAAGTTACAAATGGCCCTGAAAAAAGTGATTTACAAAAAAGTGATTTTTCAAGCTTCTGACTGTTGCAGCATCCCCAGATGCTTAGCAACTGGTTCATATTTATGACAGTTAGTGTCCTGGGGTCATGTGATCACCTTTTGCAACCTTCTGACAAGCAGAGTCAATGGGGAAGCCAGATTCACTTAACCCCCATGATACTAACTTAACAAATGCACTGATTCACTTAACAATGGTGGCAAGAAAATGGGGCAAAACTCATTTTAACAAATTTTTCACTCAGCAACATAAATTCTGGGCTCAATTGTGGTTGTAACTCGAGGACTATCTGTAATCCTCTGCAGAGAAATTTCTCTCTGTCATTAAAACATAACCCCTGAGAGAAAAGGGGCTTGCAATTCTAATTAAGATACACTGATGGAAAGATAACCCTCTCTGCTAATAGATTTGCAATGTAAAAAAAGAAAAAAAATGAAAGGGGGGTAGGGGGATGGTACATATATGAATGGCAACAGCTGTCCTGTCCCCTGGGTGATGGATGGGGCCAGACTGATTTCCCCCTTGCTCCCATTTTAGAAGGCAGAAAGTGCAGCCTCACAGTGGCCTTTTGGCATTTATCATCTGCCTGAGGGGACAAGAGTGCCCCCCATACCAGATTTCCTATTTGTTTTGGGAGGGGAGTATTATTCTGTTATGTGAGCCTCTACTTACTTGTAGTTGGAAGCAGCACTGCCCAAACACAGGTTTTGACCGCCCCTGTGAGAATCACAGCCCAAATCCTTCAACTTACCGCCAATAAAAACAGCTTCAACATTGCTTTCCTAGAGGAAATCTAATAGCTACTGAATAAACAGTTTCTCCATTTTGGTGCCGAAGGCAGACAAAGTACTTTCTTGAAACCTGAAGAAACTAAACTCCCAAGGAATTTTTCTCGGTCTAATCCAGGAACTAGAATAATCACCTTTTTTTGTTTCCTGGATGTGGTTAAAAGCAGAGAGGGTGAGACTCTATATATTCCTCTCTCTCCTCAAAACTATTTTTTTCTTTTTCATTTTTTCCTTCCTGTTTTCTTCTTTCCTTTCTCAAAAGCAGAGGATGAAACTCTGTCTATACATTCCTCTTTGAAACAATTACTATTTTTATTATGTATTTATTTCAAAAGTATAGACTCCATATATTCCTTTCTCCTCGAAACAATTGTGCTTAAAACTCTGTTGATGAAACCTAGGACTGCATTAGCTTTTCTGGCCGCTTTAGTAGAGTCCTTGTTTTGGTAATGCAAGGATGATCCATCTGAGGCCTTCCGGATAGTTTGAATTACTGTACAAATCCCACAATCCCATTCCGGGTGGAGCTGAAGTTCAGAATATCCAGAGGGCAACATATATAGACTTCCTCTATGTAATAGTTATGGTGTCCAACTAATACCCATGATCTGAGTTCAAATTCCTACTTTACTATGAACTTCACTGGAGACTAATGGATCCACCATCTAGCTCACTGGGTTGTTCTAAAATTATAGCAGGGGTGGGATTTCCACAAAACTATTACTTCTAATTCATTAGCCTGTTGTTCTCAATATACCAAAGAAATGCATCTTCTATAGGTGCAAGAATGTTGCTTTGAAAATCCAATATTTTTAGTCATAATAGAGCTAGCAGGTACTTTGGAAATATTCTAGTCCAACCTCGTTCACACAGAAGACTCTGTAC